ACTTTGATATTTTACTAAAACTTGATGTATTACGTGCAATTATTAATTCTCGTACACATAACAACGTAACAAAAACTTATCAACGCCCATTCTTGCGGTGGAAATTGATTCTTCGGTTCTAAATTTCTTGTAAACAATTTGTTCAGTTCACTAAGTAAACATGCAAGCGTGTACCATCGATGGTACACGTGGCATGGAACGTGTTAATCTGTAATGTATTTTCCATTTTGTTCGATAACCTTTTGCCATCTCTCTGACAACTTGAAAATTCCACGCTCGTAGAAAGTCTGATCCTTTTCGGCCAAAAACTGAGTTAAGTGAGACTTTACAGCGTCATCGTCATTAAAAGTTTTACCACGAAGGGAGTTGTCCAGGGATCGAAATAAGTGCTAATCCGATGGCGCGAGATCAGGGTTATATGGTAGGTGTAACATCAATTCCCAACCAATATCCATCAATTTTTGCCGAGTGGACAAAGACGTGTGCGGCCTAGCATTGTCCTGCTGGAAAATGACACCTTTACGACTGACCAATTCTGGTCGCTTTCCCTTGACCGCTGCATTCAATTTGTCCAGTTGCTAACATTCGCGGATAATAAAAAATAACATAATAATAATAATAATTTTATAATATATCATTTACGGATATCATAAAAATGGGAGTGAGAGACATCTATAACTGAAATGGGCAGTTACTTAGTTGCCAACCCAATATTTCAGATGCTATTTCTTTCAGCGATATCGTTCTTAGAAAAATATTTCCTACGTATTCTTTCTGCTATCCAGAAGTCAACTAAATTCTTTGCAAAGGTGAGCAAACTTTAAGGTCGATTTTCTCGAAATTGGAGCCCCGGATAAAAAAATGTTATACGAAATATGTGGCTCATTTTTTTTCACGCAGAATCACCCTATGCTCGGTAGCATGTACTGCGAATTTTGGCACACCCTGTATAGCTACAAAATAGTATCTAGGTTCAATTGCATTTGCCTTATTTTCTAACTAATTGCAATGATGTTATAAGAACTTAGTCATGTAACTATAACTTTTAGCATGAATTGTGGCTACTCGTTGAAGCATAACACTACTTCTGAATATATATTGACAGTGATCATTAATAATCTGACTGTAATATAAGATATATACAATTGTTCTTTGCAACGAGATTCTCTGAATTTTTATTTGGGCGCAGATTGTTCTCTGGTTATTATTGTTCGTTATCAAATGTTACCTGTATGTACAGTATTATCTACATATAAAACATTTTCTATATGTATACAGTAAATTCTCCCTAATTTATTCTTAGCTTGGAAACAAAAATGGACAATTTGGGAAGAGGGTTGGGGCTTGTTTTTATAATTACTGATTGTCAATAAAAATTGGAATATATATACAAAAAATATATATAAATTATATATATAATATAGTATAATATAATATATATAAGCATATATATTATATAATATACTATTGTACAACATAATATAATATATATATATAAGCATATATATAATATACTATTGTATAATATAATATAACATAATATATATAGGCATATGTATAATATAATATAATAATAATATATAATGTATAATAAATATATATAATATAAATATACATAAATATATGTACAAAAATATGGAATAATCGTTTCTCCTTCAAATCGTCCATTTTCGTTTCCAAACCGAGAGCGTCAATTAGGGAGAGTTTACTCTAAATGCATGTCCATTTCTTCCAAACTCTAAACATTGCTTTCGTTACTATTTCTACAATCTAAGGATCGATACCCGGCAGGAAATGTGAGCACATTTCGTAGATCACAATGTCGTAGATCACAATGACCAATGCAAATAGCCAGCCAGTTTAAACGTATGATCCCCGTGATCAGGTACGTAATTCCTAGCGAACCATTTTAGCACGAGAACTGTGCGCTGCCGAAAGTAGACCGTGATTAATTCACCGATCGATGCCGATAGCAACGCCTCATCGACGGAAAGAAGCACTCCGATTAACACTAATGTAATGTTCGCACACGATGCAGGTTCAACACGAACATATATATCTAGGACTGAAGGACGTGCTACGAGCATCGTTTCACCAAGGTGCTTTAGAGAGAGCCTTACTCGTTTTAAATATATCATGTCGAAGGGGACCGCTATGAACGTCGTTTCGCATCGAAACTAACGCCGGGAAAAGTAAAGAAAAAAGAAAAAAAAATAGAAAAAAAAGACGAGAAAGAAAATGAAACAGAGCGGGAGGCACAACCATGCGCTACTCACAGCTGCCATTCAAAGTTGTTTCCTGCCCGTTATACAATAATACACGGACCGATCACTTAGTTGTCCTTGGATCGCTTTAGAGTATGGATTGCTTTTACTCACGTGGGACGTGTCCGACACGGTGGTGTCTTGGGTCCTGTAAATTCCGATCGGGATTTCGCAAGTTGTCGAACAAAGTTTCTGATACAATCTGCCGTACGTTCTGATCCACATGTCGTCCTTCGTTATTTTCATCTGCAATCAAAAGCTTCCGCTGTGAAACCGTACGTAAATCGAGCGACATTTTCACACGGTTCATTCAATTTTTATTTAGTATTTATTCGCTCATTGTTTATTCAATTTATTCAATTTATTCAATTTATGTGTTACTCGCGGCAAATGTTGCGATAACGCTTTGTTAAATATCAGAATAAATGTCTTAGTGTTATTTTTATAAATCAATATAGAACAGCTGTTTCTTTGTGCTCCGTAAATTTTGCGTTAATATTCAATATGGAAGTGGGCAATGTTTATTTGAAGAGAAAATGAGAAACAACTGTTTGAAATAATTCTATTATTTGATAATATTATATTATAATATAATATTACCATTATTATAATTCTATATATATTAT